GAGAACTTAATAAATTTAAATACACCTAATTTACAAAAGAAACTCTTTCTCTAGTACAGAACTCGTATAGCTATCAGCTTTATTTATAGTTTCCTGTAGTATTTAATTTCATATACTTATATCCACATTTTCATTTCTTCAAACTATAAAATTTGTTGGGATTCGACAAAATTTCTTTAACAGGTTCTCACAGAGTTCAAGTACCTATAGTAGTGGGATTTTAAAAGATGACCAATGGCAATGTTATTTTTGGAATTGTTCCTAATAGGTGGTTTTTTACCTACACACTGGAGCCAGACATGGAAATTTTCAGTGTTGTCAGTTTACGGTTTCCAGAAAGATAAAGACTTTGACTAGGATTTCTTAAATATACTTTAATCTAAATTACTATGAGACCATTTTGGCTGGGGGGTAGATGTGAAGGGTTAGAAAACAGGAAAGAGAATATAAGCTTATATGTTGAGAATAAATGAATTCCTGTATGTTACATTTTTGCAGTATTCTGGTTAAATAGAATTTGATCAGTCTTTCTAATGGTATTTTTGGCTGATGAAACTCTACTGTTTAGACACTTCGGTTAAGTGGCTGTTCTTTTACTTAAATTAAGTAACTTATTGAAATTATTAATTTACTTCTGAATTAAATTTTAAAATTCAGACAAGCTGATCGTGCAGAAGCAATACCAAGACTTTCTTTTCCAGGAGAATGGAAGCAGTCTGCTTTGAGGTGTTTGAGAGAACTAGCAGCTCCTATACTGTTGCCTGCTGTGATTTACGGATTTGTACATTTTATCTAGGAATGCAAGAAGCTAGATTTACTGACACAATGGTTTCTCAGACCTGTTTTTACATTGCCTTAGGTATAGTTGCTGCCATCTTTAATCATTCATCTTACTACTTCCAATGGTTGTTTGATTCTGATGTCTTTGTTCCTATTTATTTTTTCATAAATTTTGAATTTTGTGGGTTTTTTTAACAATCTAGTTTACAATTCCATTTTCCTTCTGTTCTTTAATCAATAGAAGTTTACCAGTTGAAATGCAGGCATGCACTGGCAGTTTCATGATACCATCTCTAAATTGCCTCATTTTCTGAAAAAGTCCTTTCCTTTCTAGTAATTTATGTCATGCTATTTTAGGCAGTTTTATGTAAATAGAAGGTAAAACCTTGAACTGTGTTAACAGCATTCGTGTAGCCTTTTCTTTAAGAGTTTCAGCTCAGTCTCATCTAATCAGAACAACACAGTCACTGATGTCTTAAACCTTAATAAAATACACCAGAAACAGAATAAAAGGAGCATTAGTCTGCAGCACCCTGGCTTTTCCTACAGCCAGATGATGAAGTGTCTTATAATAAAGGTGGAATAAAAAGGCAGTTTTGTTTGTGTTTTAATTAGTATTAGGTTCAGACTGTGCTATGTAGTGCAGGTTTTGAATATCAGTCAATGATAAAACCTTACAAGGTGTTTTTATCGGTTTCTGAACAATAGAACAGTGCTTATCTTCTGCCATTGTTTTAGGAAGTATATGATAAAAACTGTCTTCTCTTGGGATTTTTTTGTTTAAATTAGTGGTAAAATTGTGTGCTAAAGTTACTTTTGAGGCCAATGCAAGGTACTAATCTATCCCAGAAACATGTGGAAAGAGGGCGGAATGGCCAGCTTTGGTTTAGGACTCATTTTGGTCTAAAAGCAAGGAATATTAGAGTAAATTTAATGCGCAGAACTGATTACATGTCAGTTTTGTGGGGGTGTGTTAATCACCTTGACAACTAAGCATCGTTATGAAATCCCAGGTGTGAGCATCTGATTAAGCAGAATTATAATTCATTTGTATGTGCAAAGTGTTACTCAGAACTACTACCAATTGCAGTGATACAGATGTCATATAGGTGATATAACAAAAGCATAATTTAATTAATGAGTATGTTTCTGAGGGATTATTAGTATAGACTTTGGTTACAGAGATGATGGCACAAGTACTTTATAATAGATGTAGGTATCAAGAGTTCCACTCCAGTTCAGGTTAAAAGAAACTATCCCCAATCTGTTGTTTGTTTGGTTTTTTAAAAGTTTTTTTCTGTTATGTTCCCTGGGCTTTTTATTAAAAGAAATTAAAAAGACAAAGCAGCATCGTTCCAAAAATGATTTAATGGATAAAATCTGGTTTCCTTAGGCTACAAGGACTTCATGAAATGTTCGGAGTACCTCTTGGTTAGCTGTTCAGGCAAATTCAAAACCCTCCAGATGACCTCAGATAGTAAACCAATCAGTATAAGCTATCAGACATGTAAAGTGGTAGTATCCTTGAATCAGTATCCCAAAAGTATATGCCTGAATCGGGTACCCCAGAAGAAAAAATGCATACATAGAACAACACATTCAAGAGCTGAGCCTTGTGGCAATCTCCAAACATTTGAATCTGATTGGAAGAAAACCCACACAAAATAATAAAGTGGGAGTCATTTTCTGATCTTCCCCAGCATCCTAAAGTGTGCTTCATTTTACCATTAAGGATAGAGAAGAAAAGCTTTTAAGTCAGCCAGCATCAGATTGATTCATAAAGCAAACAGGAAAAGTATTATAAGGCAAGGCTTCATGCTATGATAGACATCTAGGAATACTCATCTTTGGCAGTCTATTCATCTTTGGCTAAGGGGGTGGAAACTCTGATTTGTCTCCCTGGGTAATGTGTGGAATTCTGTTTATATTCCAACTCAGTTTATGTGGCCTTGGGGAGCAAAGTCTGGTCTTAGAATTAGCTGTAATTTTTGCTGATCAGATAGTGGTATGACTGGCCAGCTATTTTTCCATGACTTTTGTAGCAGAACTGTATGACAAATCTATGACATACTCTTGTTTTTTAAAACAATTGTGTAGTGAAGGTACTTGTTTCGTTCGAACGGCTGGCAGTAATTGAGACATTCACTGTATAGGTGATTTGCAAGGATTTCTTTCTTTCTATAATGCAGAGACTTTGTTCTATAAAAAACTCAAACAAACAAACAACGAAAAAAGACCGTTCAGACATAGTTTTTCATAAATGCCCAATGCAAAATCAGAAGTTCACTGTTGTCTTAAATTAGAGGTAATTTAAATATATATACATATGTTTGCAATTCATTTAGTGTAATGAAAAAGCATACTTAACTTTAGGTATGCATTTAAACACTTGCACCTAATCTGACTCTTGCAGGCAGTGCTGTTTTATCAAGATATTAATAGGCTATTTCAGGTCAGAATTGAATTCAACAGTTTATCGCATCGTTATGCTTTTGTGCATCCTTTCTATGGAAAGAGCAGAGTGGGCAAAATAGAATAGGCAAGACATAAATGTTTGTGGGCTAAGATCATAGGCCGCTAGATGTTTGTAGGCTAAGATTGTGAACAAACAGAGGAGTCTGAAAAATGAGATCAAACTGGTATGATCTAAAAGGTCTTAATTTACCAGCCATTTGACCATAACTTGGCTACATAACTTAAATCTGTAGGATTAATCTATGTTCAGTTAAATGGAACACACATGACTAACTTGTGTCTTTCAGTTATTTTAATATATTAGGCTACACAATTTTTTGAAAGTATTTTATAAAGATGTTTATTATCAGTAGATTTTAGTTAACAACGTGCCCCAAATCACTCCTACTACTTGGTCTTTAAAGAGTGTTTTTTTTCTCAAAATCATTGGTAAGTGATTAGCTTGTTGCTAAACAGAACAAAAAACTGATAGATTTGATAGAAACTGAAAATTATGACTTTTAAACTTGTGGATTACAAGGTAGGTGAGACCCAGAAACGTGCTAGAATAGGCTGAGGGGGAGCAGGATAATAAATGTGCAAAATCCATAGTTGTTTGTCTTTTGATTGTTAGTCTATCAATTGTTTGTCAAGTTGTATATTGTTTGCTTCACTCAAGAAAAAGCAAACTTGAAGGATGAGAATAAAGACGATTTGAACCAACAGTGTTATGGCTTTTTTTATAATCCCCCCTCCCTGAATTTATGAGGATAAGCTAGGAGAGGCATAATTTGGAAGATACAATAGGTTCTGGGGTCAGATAATGTCTTTGTGGTGAACCTAGCTTCTCAGCCTACATATTTTCAGGCATAAATGTATTTTTCATGGTTATAAAGTTAGTTCCAAGCGTATATGTGGAGCGCCGGGGTAGAAAGAACGGAGTGAGAAAGACATCTACCATGGCAGTCCTGTCCTTTAGAGGGGAAGGACTCTTAATATCTATCCCATTTCAGTTTTGTTTTCTAATTAACTGGTTTGTGGGAGGGGTATAAGCATCACCAAATAATGTTGAATTACAGCTTTACATTGTTCTATATAGATATGTGAGTTTTTATTGAGTTATCTCACACCAGGATAAAACTCCTGTGTTTTATAAGAGACAGAGTACTGCTGTCTTCATACTCTTTTCTTCTAAAGAACAGCAGGCATTAATTCTGTTAACTGTGTGTCTTAACTAATGCAATATAATTTTCTTTTACCTGTGGATTAAGATGCATAAAAAATAGTATGAAAATGTGAAAACTGAAATGTAATTGCTACTGTAGAGGGTGCTGCATCAACCCACTATATAATTATTATCCTTAAAATGTCAAATTTAAATATAATGTCTTCAAATTGCTTACTTCAGATTTTAGAGGAAAAACTAAGAAACAACTACAGTAAAAGATTTTAAATGACTTAACGGTGTTCGAATTGGTAAGAACTGAATTAATTAAGTTTTGATGTTTAGGCAGAAACAGCAGCTTTGTATTTGGACTAAGAAATTACTTGCTGGCTTTGTCACCATTGACATTAATTATTGATAGGGGTTTCAGAAATAGCGCATGTGCTGTCAGAGTTGACTGTAATATAAGATAGGGACTGCAGTGATGCTAGAGGGATTATAGAGAAGGAAGCACCTGTAGCATTTGGAGTTATATGCTTCTAATCATCAGACTTTTATTTTGTTTTACTAAACTCATATGAGTGATTAAAATAATGGAAAGATGAGTCGTCAGGCTTATTTCTATCGTGTCCCTCCACAGGAATTACATAGAAGAACTCAACTTCAGCCTGAGCCAGCAAAGACGAAGGCTCTTCAGACAGTTATTGAAATGAAGGTATGATCTTTGCATGTTTTCCCATACATTATTTTTGTAGCGTGGACTCGTGTACTGGGTATGGCTGGCATTGAGTTAAATTTCCTTGTAGCAGCCTGTATGGTGCTATGTTTTGAATTTGGAACGAAAACAGTGTTGATAACGTGCTGATGTTTTAGCTGTTGCTGAACAGTGCTTACTCAGAGTCAAAGCTTTCTCATTTTCTCATTCTCCTCCCTCTGCCCCAGCAACTAGTTTGGGGTGGACAAGAGGCTGGGAGGGAATGCAGCCAGAACAGCTGACTTGAGTTGACCAAAGGGATACTCTGTACCATAGAATGTCAGGCTCAGCAATAAAACTGAGGGGAGGACATTCAGAGTTATGGCATTTGTCTTCCGAAGTAACTCTTATGCACGATGAAGCCCTGTTTTTCTGGAAATTGCTAGGTGGCTGACTGCCGATGGGAAGTAGTGAATGTATTCAATAATTTGCTTTGCTTGCAAGCACAGCTTTGCTTTATGTATTCAACTGGCTTTATCTCAGCCTGTGAATTTTCTCACTTTTGCCCTTCCAATTCCCTCCCCTGTCCCACTAAGGGGGAGTGAATGTGCGGCTGTGTGACACAGCTGCCTACCAGGGTTAACCCACAACACCTCAGTTTATAACTTTTACTATGAAATCATTAAATGCTTCCTTTTACTTCTCAACTTATTTTGCTGTGAAGCTAGAAATAATTAGTATTTCTTTCTCTCAATCTGTTTTCTTAATAAGACTTGATTAAAAAAAAAATCAAGTGCAGAATTGCTGAAAAGTGAGAACCAAATATTGCTTTTTAAAAAGACTCAGGGGGTGGAGGGCACTTTCAGGTCGGCCGAAGTAGATGGAATAAATTGACAAACAGAAGCAAACACCAACTGTCCAAGCCAATGTAAAATGTTTTTCTTCTTGATCTTTAAAAACAATATTTCTTTTGGTGGTTATTTGCTATCATTTTACATCTAACCTAAGGAAAATATTCATTGCATCAGCAGAGTGATATGACAAAATGTGATGAAATAGTCCTGAATATAATTTCCTCTCTTATTTAATGTTACTAAAGTGTTGTGGTTTCTGTCCTCACAATAACAAAAGATAAAAATAATAATTTAGAAGGTGAAAACTGATGTTTTTGCATAGTTCTATGAATCTGGAATGTACATCTTTAAGAAAAATACCATGAGACTTAAGATAATTTGTGAGTTGGCAATGCTGTCTGAAATACATTAATGATGGTCTTTCATTTCAGTCTTAAAAGGAAGTGCAAATTAAAGGCCTTATTTTGCCAGTGACTTCTGTTATGAGCAAATGAGTTCAGCATGTCTGAACATTGTGGTAAATACACAGTTACAACAACAGCAGGACTTCATAAATACAGTATCTGTCCTTTAATAGATAATAATTAGTTTGGATTATATGAGTAACAAAGAAGGTACATCAATTACATTATTCCATCTGCTGATGTGTATTTGCCTTGGACCTTCCCTGTTTATTCTAGGTCAGAAATCTATGTATGAAATCTAAAACGTGTGGTTTTGCAGTAACTTGTTACCCTAAGTATATGGGAAAGTAAGATACTGGCTGAGAAACTTGTTTCTTTCTATTAATATTCAGAATTATAAATTTAAAAGTTTGGGGATACAGAGATGGTGTGTTAGAATAATTTATTGTCTTCCATGTGGTTTATTAGGTATGTAAGGGGTATGCTGCAAAATAATTTGCAATTCTTCTTCTGTACCAAAACCCTTTGAAAGGAATGGGAAGGAGGGGACGAGGACCCACGACATATGAAAGACACACGTGAGGACTGTAGTTGCAGCCATGCTGACAGTGTGTGTCCCTGAAGACAGGAAAGTCTTTTCTGTTTGTCTCAGGAGAGTTGGGTGTGGGGTGATGTTCCACTCTTTAAAAGTCTTTGTAGTGAGGGCTTTCATTTGTCATGGGTGAAGCTGTAATTGCGTTGCTTGGAGCATTCTGATGCAAAGCTGCCTTTTGGCTCTGAGGCAGGCAGTTCTTTCTTTTCCTATGAACACATGCTCCTCTGGGGTTGCCCTGTCTAAAATAGGCCTAATATTGAAAAGAAAAAGGGACAAATGTAAGATGTTGAAATCCACAAGATTAAACAGCAGTTTTCATTACAAGTTCCAGCTTTGGAATGTTTTCAAGTAAATTTAAATTGTCTTAATCCAGACAGCATTTGTTTTGAAAAAGATGTGGAACATTTGTTTTGAATGATCAAGCATTGAAGCAATAATTTCCCCACAGTGTTGAGGGCAGAAGGAGGGAGAGGATTACCCTGCAATATGGCAATCTGAGGCCATACACTTCCCCATGCAGAGGCTCCAAGCAGTATACATTTCTCTTTACTGCACCCAATCCCTTCCACCCCCTCCCCACATCAGCTTTTGTCCGAGTTCCCTCTGCAGCACCCCCAGGCTCTGCCAGGAGGCAGCTTTCCCCCCTTCCTAAATCTGTCTATTCATTCCTGTGGTTTTCTTCTGTACCTTGCCACTGCTGAATGCTTTCTGTCCCTTCTCCCAGTTAGTCCTCCCTTTCATGTAATGAAGTGTATACCCTTTTCTCCTACCTATCATCTCATATATTTTTTTTTGATCCTAAACAGCTTTTCTTCTGTGATACCTTTCCTGTCCTGTCATGTTCTTCATTTCTCTCTGAAAGCTTTACAAGTAGCTGCATTTTCTTATAGCAATTGTGTTTTCTGTATAACTTGTGTTCTTGACCAGTGTCTATCTTCTGTATGCTTATTAAAAAATATATGTATATAAAAGGGGTCAAACAAAAAGACAGAAAATTCACATCCTATGTCTTGAGTCCTATTTCTAGCACTTTATTTATTCCTTTTCAGGTATCAATTGTCTTTTCAGAGGCATTGCACAGGCCTTTCTTTCCTAACTTTCTGGTTTTGCTTCTTGGACGTGTTTACTTCCAGATGTCTTTTGCTTATTCTTTGCCCTTACATTCTTTATTCCCTCATCTGCAACAGACCTTCTTCTCCAGAAGCCTTTCTTTCTTCTGGAAAGCAGAGTCACAGGGCAGAAGGAGGGCAGTATGGTTCCTTTTCCCACATGTTCCTGTTATTCCCTCAAACTCTTGTGGGTTTTTTTTTGGTTTTGGGTTTTTTTTTTGAAACTTGCTTAATCACATGGTAAACTTTACTTTCAAGAGATTGTTCTGTTTTATTTTGTTTCCCCAGCCCTCCACCATGGTTTTTTATGAGCTCCATTCTTTAGAAAGTGGGGCATACTTGATATGCTCTCTGTACCCTGGATTTAGTAATCTGCACGAAACAGCAAGTTACATCATGGTGTTCAGAGAAGAGCCACCAGAATGTTTAAAGATATTACCAAACAATGAATGTCTTTAGGGGCTTAATTTTGTGCAGTTTAACAAATAGGAAATGACAGAGCAAAGAGATTACAGTCTGTAGACACCTAACTGACATATCCTCATTAAAAAAAAATCCACTCCAGTAATGAAAACAAATATATCGTAAAATACTGTATATGGAAGCTAGAGGTAGCAAATACACACTAAAATACGGTGTGTATATTTAACAGTGTTCATGTAATTTTATGACTTGTGTTGTGCAGGAAGCCAGTCTAGTTTTGTTGCAATGGTTGCTTCTGAGTTTGTGGCTACAGATATATGTAATCAAACAGCTTTTTTTTGGCCATGCCTAAGTCTTTGTCTGTTTAAGTCTAAAATAAAGCTGGTACATTGAAATCCCTTCCTTTAATTGCAATTGCATCCATGCATACTTCTTTGCATATTGTGCGCTCACAGATGCCAGATCACTGATATCTTTGAATATCAGTACTGATATCTTTGAATATCAGTGATATCCAAAGTTGATTAACACTGATTAATATACTAAAAAAAGAGTAAAAACACACTTCATTCTTTCAATAACAAGTACTCCTGAGCACATGAATCAGGTCAAAACTTGCTCGTCTGTTGTGAGGGCCCACCTGGAGTACTGCATTCTATTCTGGGGTCCCCAGCGCAGCGAAGACATGGACCCGTTGGAGTGGGTCCAAAGGAGGGCCACAAAAATTATCAGGTGGCTGGAACACCTCTCCTATGAAGAAAGGCTGACAAAGTTGGCGTTGTTCAGCCTGGAGAAGAGAAGGCACAGGGGAGACCTTCCTGTGGCCTTTCAATACTTAAAGGTGGCTTATAAGAAAGACGGGAACAGACTTTTCATTAGGGCCTGTTGTGTTAGGACAAGGGACAATGGTTTTAAACTGAAAAAAGAGTGTATATAAGGATTGGACATAAGAAAGAAATTTTTTTGTGATGAAGGTGGTGAGGCACTGGAACAAGTTGCTTAGTGAAGTTGTGGATGCCCCATCTATGGAAGTGTTCAAGGTCAGGTTGGATGGGGCTTTAAGCAACCTGGTCTAGTGAAAGGTGTCGCTGTCCATAGCAGAAGGGTTGGACTAGGTGATCTTTAAAGGTCGCTTACAATTGAAACCTTCCGTGATTCTATGATCTTGTTCAGACAGTTCTGGGCTTAAACCAGTGATGTTACTTGAGAGAGAAAAATCAGAAATGAGTTGCCTACAGATATGGTGTAAAGTGTAGAGCATTGACCATCCTGAAATATATATAGTCTAGCAAGAAGAATTAAAAAAATCTTTAAAAATGATAAGCTGTAAAGTAAATGAAAATATTTGTGGTTTACCTTACTTGCAGAAAGAGCCATCTTTATGTATTGATCCAGCTTTGATATTTCAGGTATGGGTTTGGTTCTAAAAAAGTGCGTACGTGTGTTTGCAGTGCAACATACTCTTATTGTTAAGATTGCATGAGCTTTCACTCTCTCTTGTCTTCAAAAATAAACCCGAATATTCTCTGTATTAAATTGACAAAGTTCAAAAAAGTATATTGTAAGAGTAATCGTGTGTGGTCTGTTGATAGCATGTATGCATATGTGCATTAAGATGAAAGTTTTATTAAATGTG